AAAAAAAAAAAAGTGGATTTCTTGCAGACAACATATAGTAGGTATTCTTTTTTCTTTTTTCTTTTTTTTTTTTTTTTTTTTTTTTTGAGACGGAGTCTCGCTCTGTCACCCGGGCTGGAGTGCAGTGGCCGGATCTCAGCTCACTGCAAGCTCCGCCTCCCGGGTTCACGCCATTCTCCTGCCTCAGCCTCCCGAGTAGCTGGGACTACAGGCGCCCGCCACCTCGCCCGGCTAGCTTTTTGTATTTTTTAGTAGAGACGGGGTTTCACCGTGTTAGCCAGGATGGTCTCGATCTCCTGACCTTGTGATCCGCCCATCTCAGCCTCCCAAAGTGCTGGGATTACAGGCTTGAGCCACCGCGCCCAGCTTCTTTTTTTTTTTTCTTTTCTTTTTTTTGAGATGGAGTTTTACTCGTTGCCCAGGCTGGAGAGCAATGGCATGATCTCACCTCATTGCAACCTCTGCCTCCCGAGTTCAAGTGATTCTCCTGTCTCGTGAGTAGCTGGGATTACAGGCATGTGCCACCACGCCTGGCTAATTTTGTATTTTTAGTAGAGACGGGGTTTCTCCATTTTGGTCAGGCTGGTCTCAAACTCCTGACCTCAAGAGGTCCTCCTGCCTCAGCCTTCCAAAGTGCTGGGATTACGGGCACGAGCCACACCTGGCCAGGTACTCTCTTTTATCCACTATGACAGTATCAGTGAGCTGAGATTGTGTCACTGCAATCCAGCCTAGGCAACAGAGTAAAAAAAGGAAAAATGAAAAAGAAAAGAAATAAATTTCTGGTCTGATAATTCCAGCATCTCTTTTATATCTCAGTCTGGTTCTGGTGCCTGCACTGTCTTTCAAACCGTCTACGTCTTTTAATATATCTTGTAATGTCTGTTGAAATCTGGGCATGGTGTTGAAAAGGAACTGAGGTAAACAGGCTTTAAATGTGAGGGTTTAGGTTTATCCTGTTGATTTGAGGCTGTGTTTACTATTTTCAGTAGCTGTAGGTGTCAATAGATAAAATTGCCTTTGTTGTTGTTGTCCCTGGTTTTCTGTGTTCTGTCATTTTTGGGGTTCTCTAGATATTTAATTGTGAAACATGCAGAAAGAAATAGTAAAATATTGTTTCATTGTATTCTACTGTTTTATTTTAAATTTTATTTTATTTTTTGAGATGGAGTCTCGCTCTGTCACCTAGGCTGGAGTTCAGGGACGCAATATTGGCTCATTGCAACCTCTGCCTCCCGGGTTTAAGTGATTCTCCTCCCTCAGCTTCCCAAGTAGCTGGGATTACAGGTGCCCACCACACCCGGTGAATTTGTGTATTTTTAGTAGAGATGGAGTTTTGCTATGTTGGCTAGGCTGGTCTCAAACTCCTGACCTCAAGTGATCTGCCTGCCTCCCGCCTCCCAAAGTGCTGGGATTACAGGCGTGAGCCACCACACCCGGCCTGGTCTACTGTTTTAAAATAAAAACCCAGGCCAGGAGTGGTGTAATCCTAGCACTTTGGGAGGCCGAGGTGGGCGGATTACTTGAGGTAGGAGTTTGAGACCAGCCTGGCCAACAGAAGAAACACCTTGTCTCTACTAAAAATACAAAAATTAGCTGGGTGTGGTTGTGCATGCCTGTAATCCCAGCTACTCGGTTGGCTGAGGCAGGAGAACTGCTTGAACACGGAAGGCAGACGTTGCAGTGAACCAAGATTGCGCCACTGCACTCCAGCCTGGGTGACAGAGTGAGACTGGGACTCAAACTAAAAAACAAAACTCTAATGACACACTGTTACCAGTGACTGGAGTGGAAACATGATATAATCCTATGAATCATCTGTCTTCTGGTGAGCCTGTGCCCCTGAGCCATGGTGTTTTATGATAAAAAAGACATTTGGTCTTTTGTGTGTGGTTCCTAGTACAGAGTTCCTAAATCTCTTGGAATTTCATGAGTGATAAGGGTAATAGGAGCCTCTTTTGTTGTAAATAAATGACTACTGGAACGCCTACCTAACTTCAGGGTGGGGATTGATGTCCAGAAAGACACCCAGTCTTGATCGTCCTTTAGCCCTAGCCCCCAAAGTCGGGAGAGAGAAAAAGGGCTGGAGGTGTAGTGTTTGGACTCCTGACGTCAAGTGATCCGCCCGCCTCTGCCTCCCAAAGTGCCGGGATTACAGGCGTGAGCCGTCCCGCCCGGCCTTTGACTGCTCACAGCTTTAAAACCTCATTCCTCAGTTTCCACTGTGTACCCCACATATAGATGTGGTAGGAAGAACGCCTGGGTCACCCTCATTTGGTGCTGGTGACAGAGCCAATTCACATCAGCCTCTACTTGTATGCTTGAACTCACACTAGCCCACTCCCTAATGTCAGTAAAAATCCCCAGCCAGGCTCCTTTTCTTGCTCTCTGAAGCCATTTCACAAGTGCTTGAAAGCCTACACAGCTTTGCCTGAGATCTCAAGCATGTGAGTAATAAACCCTTTCATGAGTACAGTGGTTTTATAGAGGTCCCAGTTGCCGTGCTTTCTTTCCAATAACCTCCTAGACCCATGAAATGAGACAGAAAGGAAAAACTGAACGTATGACAAATGTTACACAAACACGTTGAAATTAATACTTCTACAAAAGAATATTTTCTTTTTTTTTTTTTTTTTTTTTGAGACGGAGTCTCCCTATGTCTCCCAGGCTGGAGTGCAGTGGCCTGATCTCGGCTCACTGCAAGCTCCGCCTCCCGGGTTCACGCCATTCTCCCGCCTCAGCCTCCCAAGTAGCTGAGACTACAGGCGCCCGCCACCACACCCGGCTAGTTTTTTGTATTTTTAGTAGAGACGGGGTTTCACCATGTTAGCCAGGATAGTCTCGATCTCCTGACCTCGTGATCCACCCACCTCGGCCTCCCAAAGTGCTGGGATTACAGGCTTGAGCCACCGCGCCCGGCCCAAAAGAATATTTTCATTCAGCCAGCTGGATTTGCATGGTTCTAATGGCCTGGGGTCCTTCAGGGCAACATGGCCAGTGACTTCTGGCTTTCCACAGACTTCCTGATGTCTCATGTTGTTTATGAAAAATAAAAATGGCCGGGCGCGGTGGCTCAAACCTGTAATCTTAGCACTTTGGGAGGCCGAGGAGGCGGATCACGAGGTCAGGAGATCAAGACCAGCCTGGCTAACAGGGTGAAACCCCATCTCTACTAAAAATACAAAAATTAGCCAGGCGTGGTGGCGGTCGCCTATAGTCCCAGCTACTCGGGAGGCTGAGGCAGCAGAATGGCGTGAACCCGGGAGGCGGAGCTTGCAGTGAGCCGAGATTGTGCCACTGCACTCCAGCCTGGGCTACAGAGCGAGACTCTGTCTAAAAAAAAATAAAAAGGCCGGGCGCGGTGGCTCAAGCCTGTAATCCCAGCACTTTGGGAGGCCGAGACGGGCGGATCACGAGGTCAGCGAGACCATCCTGGCTAACACGGTGAAACCCCGTCTCTACTAAAAAATACAAAAAAACTAGCCGGGCGCGGTGGCGGGCGCCTGTAGTCCCAGCTACTTGGGAGGCTGAGGCAGGAGAATGGCGTGAACCCGGGAGGCGGAGCTTGCAGTGAGCTGAGATCCGGCCACTGCACTCCAGCCTGGGCGGCAGAGCGAGACTCCGTCTCAAAAAAAAAAAAAAAAAAAAAAAAGTTAATTTAAAAAAAAGAAAAAAGTATACAGTTTTTAATCCTCAATGGGAGATGTGCAACTTATAGTCTAAAGGGTGTATTCATTTACAAAAATCTCATCCAGATTTGACACCAAGTTTCATGAAATGTTGAGTGATATGGTGTGTAATAAGGTAGAAAATGAAAGAGTTTTTCTCACAAGGAATTGATGATCTTACAATTTGTTTCATTTGTATAGCATTTTTCTCATATCTCTAAGGTGGTCTTGGGTCTGCATTTAAAGAACAATAAGGTGGCCGGGCGTGGTGGCTCATGCCTGTAATCCCAGAACTTTAGGAGGCTGAGGGGGCGAATCAAGAGGTCAGGAGATCAAGACCATCCTGGTTAACATGGTGAAACCCCATCTCTACTAAAAATACAAAATACTAGCCGGGCATGATGGCACACCCCTGTAGTCCCAGCTACTCGGGAGGCTGGGACAGGATAATCACTTGAACCCAGGAGGCAGAGGTTGCAGTGAGATTGCGCCACTGCACTCCAGCCTGAGCGAAAGCGAGACTCCATCTCAAAAAAAAAAAAAATAGGCCGGGCGCGGTGGCTCAAGCCTGTAATCCCAGCACTTTGGGAGGCCGAGACGGGCGGATCATGAGGTCAGGAGATCGAGACCATCCTGGCTAACACGGTGAAACCCCGTCTCTACTAAAAATACAAAAAACTAGCCGGGCGAGGTGGCGGGCGCCTGTAGTCCCAGCTACTCGGGAGGCTGAGGCAGGAGAATGGCATAAACCTGGGAGACGGAGCTTGCAGTGAGCTGGGATCCGGCCACTGTACTCCAGCCTGGGTGACAGAGTGAGACTCTGTCTCAAAAAAAAAAAAAAAAAATGGCCGAGCGCAGTGGCTCAAGCCTGTAATTCCAGCACTTTGGGAGGCCGAGACGGGCGGATCACGAGGTCAGGAGATCGAGACCATCCTGGCTAACACGGTGAAACCCCGTCTCTACTAAAAAATACAAAAAACTAGCCAGGCGAGGTGGCAGGCGCCTGTAGTTCCAGCTACTCAGGAGGCGGAGCTTGCAGTGAGCCGAGATCGCGCCACTGCACTCCAGCCTGGGCGACAGAGCGAGACTCCGTCTCAAAAAAAAAAAAAAGGCTTCAAGTGATCACAGTTAAAATATAGAAATAATTTTTGTATGTTCATGATAGTGTTAAATTTATGAGGAAGTGTGAGTGTGGAAAGAGAGTTCTGACAACAAAGTCATACCACTGAACCGAGACTACAGGATTATATGGAATTTCTCAGGAATTCTGAGAATGGATCCTCACTACTGCCAATCTCACCCCTCCTCCTATACACATGGGGGATGTTTTAGGACTCCATCTCCCTTGAGGATGTGGCTGTGAACTTCACCCTGGAGGAGTGGGCTTTGCTGGATCCTGGCCAGAGGAATATCTACAGAGATGTGATGCGGGCAACCTTCAAGAACCTGGCCTGCATAGGTAAGGGTGACATAATTTCTCTACTTAATTAAGGAGAGAACAAGTGTTTCTTGCACAGCAACTGTGTTCCAAAATTTAAAATGTGGGAAAGGGCTGGGCACGGTGGCTCGCACCTGTAATCCCAGCTCTTTGGGAGGCCAAGGTGGGCAGATTATGAGGTCAGGAGTCTGAGACCAGCCTGACCAACATGGTGAAACCCCGTCTCTACTAAAAGTATAAAAAATTAGCCAGGCGTGGTGGCAGGTGCCTGTAATTCTGGCTACTCAGCAGGTTGAGGCAAAAGAATTGCTTGAACCCGGGAGGCAGAGGTTGCAGTGAGCTGAGACTGCACCATTGCACTCCAGCCTGGGCAACAGAGCAAGATTCTGTCTCAAAAGAAAAAAAAAATGTGGGTAGAGAATACTTTAGTAAGTAAACCAGACACGGTCATAGCTAATCATGGATCTTAGAGTGTTATAATTTTCTTTAATTTCTAATAATTTATAGTGGGTTCTCTGGGCTTGTATTTTAGGGGAAAAATGGAAAGACCAAGATGTTGAAGATGACCCCAAAAACCAAGGAAGAAAACCAAGGTGAGTTGCATTCATGAGTAATTAGCCCCTGAGAAAATCTTACTGTTTCATAAATTTCAAAAGCCAAGCAAGCAAAACAATAAGCACAGTTTCAAGTTTATTCGTTCTTAGAACATTTTTACTGAAGACGTTTCATTGAAACTGTCATGGGCTGGGCAAGGTACCTAATACCTCTAATCCCAGCCTTTGGGAGGTGAAGGCTGGAGAATTGCTTGATGCCAGGAGTTCAACATCAGCCTGGTCAACATAGAGAAAACCTGTCTCTACAGAAAAAAAAAAAAGTCATAGATGTTCAGGGTGTGAAAAGAAATCACTATGAAACAGTATGTAAAAATCCTGGCCGGACATGGTGTCTCATGCATGTAATCCCAGCACTTTGGGAGGCCGAGGCGGGTGGAACACCTGAGGTCAGGAGTTCAAGACCAGCCTGACCAACATGGAGAAACCCTGTCTCTACTTAAAAAAAAATACAAAATTAGCGGGGTGTGGTGGTACATGCCTGTAATCCCAGCTACTTGGGAGGCTAAGGCAGGAGAATCACTTTAACCCAGGAGGCGGACGTCACGGTGAGCTGAGATCACACCATTGCACTCCAGCCTGGGCAGCAAGAGCAAAACTCCATCTTTTTTTTAAAAAAAAAAAAAAGGCCAGGTGCAGTGGCTCACGCCTGTAATCCCAGCACTTTGGGAGGCTGAGGCAGGCGGATCACGAGGTCGGGAGATCGAGACCAGCCTGGCTAACATGGTGAAACCCCATCTCTACTAAAAAAAAACAAAAAAATTAGTTGGGTGTGGTGATGGGTGCCTGTAGTCCCAGCTACTCGGGAGGGTGAGGCAGGATGGTGTGAACCTGGGAGGCAGAGCTTGCAGTGAGCCAAGATCGCACCACTGCACTCCAGCCTGGGCGACAGAGCGAGACTCTGTCTCAAAAAAAAAAAAAAAAATTCTTGACTATTTTGATAATAGCTATGGTCACCGCCTATTCTAGAGTATTGAGTATATTAGCTTTCAAACAATTTAGACAGGGAAGATAACAGAGTTTCTCTGAAAATATTTAAAATGTAATTCTGGTACTTGCTAATAAATATAAGATCATTAGTACAAAACTATTAATAATATGGTACTCATTTTCTACAGCAGTCCTATGGTTGAAACACTCTGTGAAAATAAAGAGGATCGTCCGTGTGGAAAAAGCAGTAGCCCGATTCCTGATCTTCATACGAACCTGGAAACTCCTACTGGATTAAAACCATGTGACTGCAGTGTGTGTGGGGAAGTCTTCATGCATCAGGTCTCCCTTAATAGACACATGCGGTCTCACATGGAACAGAAACCAAATGAGTATCACGAATATGGAGAGAAGCCACATAAATGCAAAGAATGTGGGAAAACCTTCACTCGCAGCTCCAGTATCCGAACCCATGAAAGAATTCATACTGGAGAGAAACCATACGAATGTAAAGAATGTGGCAAGGCCTTCGCATTTCTCTTTTCCTTTCGAAACCATATAAGAATTCATACTGGAGAGACACCCTATGAATGTAAGGAATGTGGGAAGGCGTTCAGATATCTTACCGCTCTTCGGCGCCATGAAAAAAATCACACTGGAGAGAAACCCTACAAATGTAAACAGTGTGGAAAAGCCTTTATCTATTACCAGCCTTTTCTAACCCACGAAAGGACTCACACCGGAGAGAAACCTTATGAATGTAAGCAGTGTGGGAAAGCCTTCAGTTGTCCCACGTACTTACGGAGTCATGAGAAAACTCATACTGGAGAGAAACCTTTTGCATGTAGGGAATGTGGGAGAGCCTTCTTTTCTCACTCAAGCCTTCGAAAACATGTGAAAACCCACACCGGAGTTCAACCTTATACATGTAAGAAATGTGGGGAAGCCTTCAAGTCATCTAGTTCCTGTCAAGTGCACGAAAGAACTCATTTTGGAGAAAAACCCTATGAGTGTAAACAATGTGGTAAAGCCTTCAATTCTTCAAGTTACCTTCAATTGCACGAAAGAGTTCACACTGGCGAGAAAACTTACGAATGTAAAGAATGTGGTAAAGCCTTTCTTTATTCCACTCACTTTCGAATCCATGAAAGAACCCATACTAGAGAGAAACCCTATGAATGCAAACAGTGTGGTCGGGTCTTCATTTACTTCAGTCACCTTCGAAGGCACGAAAGAAGTCACACTGGAGTGAAACCATGTGAGTGTAAGCAGTGTGGCAAAGCTTTCACTTGTTTAAATTCCCTGAAAGTACACAAAAGAATTCATACTGGAGAAAGACCCTTTCAATGTAGACAATGTGGTAAAGCCTTCAGTTACTCAAAGTCTCTGCACGTGCACGAAAGGACTCATACTAGACAGAAGCCCTAAGAAAGTAAACAGTGTGGCAATGATGTCAGCTGTATTAGTTCCTTTTGGATATATGAGAGTACTTATGCTGGAGAGAAATTCAAGGAATGTAAACGGTGTGATTAAGCCTTCAGTTGTCCTAATTCACTTTGAAGACATGACTCATGCGGCAATTAAATATTTGACAAATATGGGAGGCACTTCCACTCTCCTGTAGGATTGCAAATATGCGAATGGACTCCGTGGACAGAAACCATATGAATGTAAGGAGTGTGGGAAAGCCTTCACTTCACAGAATCTTTTAAAGACACCTGAGAATATATACTGAGAGAAACTGTAAGGAGAATTCTTTTTTTTTTTTTTTTTTGAGACGGAGTCTTGCTCTGTCGCCCAGGCTGGAGTGCAGTGGCCGGATCTCAGCTCACTGCAAGCTCCGCCTCCCGGGTTTACGCCATTCTCCTGCCTCAGCCTCCCGAGTAGCTGGGACTATAGGTGCCCGCCACCTCGCCCGGCTAGTTTTTTGTATTTTTTTTTTTAGTAGAGACGGGGTTTCACCGTGTTAGCCAGGATGGTCTCGATCTCCTGACCTTGTGATCCGCCCGTCTCGGCCTCCCAAAGTGCTGGGATTACAGGCTTGAGCCACCGCGCCCGGCCCCAAGGAGAATTCTTTATCCATCCCATCTTTTGTGGTTTTTTTTTTTTTTTGAGATGGAGTTTTGCTCTTGTTGCCCAGGCTGGAGTGCAGTGGCGTGATCTCAGCTCACTGCAACCTCTGTCCCCGGGTTCAAGTGATTCTCCTGCCTCAGCCTCCTGAGAAGCTGGGATTACAGGCATGCGTCACCACGCCTGTCTAATTTTGTGATTTTAGTAGATGTGGGGTTTCTCCATGTTGGTCAGGCTGGTTTCGAACCCCCAACTTCAGGTGATCTGCCCGCCTTGGCCTCCCAAAGTGCTGTGATTATAGGTGTGAGCCACAGCTCCCAGCCTTTTTTTGTCTGTTTTTTGAGATGGAGTCTCACTCTGTCACCCCAGGCTGGAGTGTAGTGGTGTGATCCTGGCTCACTGCAACCTTTGCCTCTTGGGTTCAAGCAATTCTTCTGCCTCAGCCTTCCAAGTAGCTGGGATTACAGGTGCCCACCACCATGCCCAGCTAATTTTTATATTTTTAGTAGAGACAGTGTTTCACCATGTTGACCAGGCTGATCTTAAACTCTTGACCTCAAATGATCCATCCACCTTGGCCTCCCAAAGTGTTGGGATTACAGGTGTGAGCCACCACGCGCAGCCCCAGTTCATTTTACTTTTTTTTTTTTTCTTTTGAGATGGAGTCTCACTCTGTTGCCCAGGCTGGAGTGCAGTGGCATGATTTCAGCTCACTGCAACCTCTGCCTCCCAAGTCAAAACACTCTTCCTGCCTCAGGCCCCCCCAGTAGCTGGGATTACAGGCACATGCCACCACGCCCAATGAATTTTTATATTTTTAGTAAAGATGGGATTTTACCGTGTTGGCCAGGCTGGTCTTGAACTCCTGACCTCAGGTAATCCACCCACCTTGGCCTCCCAAAGTGCTGGGATTACAGGCATGAGCCACCGCACCTGGCCCCCAGTTCATTTTAAAACCATGAAACCACCCACGCTGGAGAGCAGCCTTCTTTAATGTAAGCAATATGGGAACATCTTCAATTACACGTGCAGCCATTGTCGAGATTCTTCGTAGGAAGAATTAAAGGAATGGGGAAGAAGGACTTGGGTCCCAGCAGGCCTTTTGTGGCATCCAGTCAGAAGTTAGGAAACACCCTCTAGGGCAGTGGCTGCCCTCAGCTCACACACATGACTGGATAGAAGTGAGAAGACTCCCAGAATCTGCCTTTAAGTTTCCATCAGTGTCCTTGGGTCAGACTGTAGGAGTGCTGTGCTTCTAACCTGACAGTTCTCCTCAAGTGGGATATGCCTATGGACATCCTAATTCACAGGCATTGTCAGCATCGCATTATTCCAGGGCTGTTTTGAGGTCATCTCCAGCTCCATTTCCCATCTCAAACCTACACTTTGGATACTTACTGGGAAACATGTTTAGAAATTCACATGTAAATTTCTCTGTGGCAACCCCAGGTGGCTCTGAGGTGAGAGGGCTGAAGAAGCAGAACCTGTGTCATGGGACACATGCCCCTTGACCACACAGCATGCACTCTCCTGCAGTTACCAGCCCTGTATCAACCACCACAGTCAGAATAATCTCAAAACTGCTAGTGGAGTCACAGAGACACACTCTGCCATGTCTTAGCTGTAGGACACTCAAACTGCTTACCTCCCCTAACTTGCTTTCCCCATTTTCTGGCACGTTCTATCCTGAGATATTCCGCAGCATATGCACGGATGGTGCTCCGGCCTTCTCACGTCAGTGCATGTCATGTGCTTCCTGCTCCAGGACTGGTTTCCTAGCCTCCCACTAAGAGTAGCACCTGGCTGTTTTTGGAAAAGGACGCACGCTGCAGAGCTCCAGCTCTGTTGTGTATGGGAGGCGCTGGCGTCAGGGTTCACAAGCCATGGAACTACCTTGCTTCACATCATATGGCAAGGTGAACTCAACTCCCAATAAACTGCTTGCTGGAGCCACCGAATTCTCCCTTTTCTGAATTGCACAGGCATGATAGGTGTCGGGTCTGTCCTTTGTTGGGGTCAGTCCACCCTTTTCTTAGAGAGCAAGTCAGTGTGTTCTAGAAGGGAGGTGGCAGCATTGAGGGAAACCAGGTCACCATCTACCCTCATAACAACTTACGGTCTCCCTGGGTCCCAGAAGTGATCTTTCTGTCGCTTGGAGACCTGTAGTCGGAATTCTCTAGGCCTCTGGCCTCCACCCTCCTCCAACAGCAGGGATGGGTCAGGTGGCAGCATCCAACACCACGGTGAAGATACTAGGGTCCAGAGGCTGACTGGAGCAAGGTTTGCTGGCAGCTGAGGCCTCAGTGGAAGTGATGGCTACCATGGAGATGCAGTGGAGGACCCAGTGGCTGAACCAGGAGATACACACCTTTGCTTCTCTCACCAGGAACATTTATGGTAGTTTGAGGGGTTGGAACATTATTACTCAACCCATTTCAGGTCCTTATTTTCGCATTCTTGGGCTGTCATGTTCTGCTTTTGTAGAGACATGATTATTGTACTGTGGGAGGTCGGAAAGTTTGAGATTCCTTCACTGTCAGAATGGGCTCAAGGAGCCATCTTTTGTGATAGGTGTTGGGGAGCTAAGGGGTATCTCTGCTACATGGAATGGGAGTGAGAACATTCACTTTTTGAAGGACAAGTATATGTGGGTCTGTGATGACGTTTGTGTAAAATCCATTTGTGTATGTGTCTGTGTGAGTCCTAATATTCAGTAAATATTTTCCTCTGTGTAACACTCTCTAATAGGTATAGTTAGCAAAGCTGTGCTAATATCTCTGTCCCCTTGATCCTGACATTCTGGAAGACAAGAAAGCAAGCAAGAATATATATGGCACTGTGGTGGTTATTCCTGAGGAGCCAGAGAAACCTGGAGAAGAGATCAGAACATCTGGGGTCCTTCTGTCTGGGAGCATCTTTTAGTATCTGGGCTGTTACATCTGTGGGTTTGTGAGTTTGTGTTTGTCCACCTGTATGTACAGTGACAAAGTGTGTGGTTTTTGTATATTTGTCCAGAGGGCTGTGTGTATATGTATATTTTCAAATATGGAATGCTTTTTTTTTTTTTTCTTTTTTGAGATGGAATCTGTTGCCAGGCTGGAGTGCAGTTGCGTGATATTGGCTCACTGCAACCTCCACTTCTCGGGTTCAAGCGATTCTCCTGCCTCAGCGTCCCAAGTAGCTGGGACTATAAGTGTGTGCCACCACACCCAGCTAAATTTTTTTGTATTTTTAGTAGAGATGGGGTTTCACCATATTGGCCAGGATGGTCTCAATCTCCTGAACTTGTGATCCATCCGCCTCAGTCTCCCAAAGTGCTGGGATTACAGGTGTGAGCCACTGCACCTGGCTGGGTTTTTTTTGGAGGGGGGGTTGTTTGTTGGTTAGTTGTTTGAGACGGAGTCTCACTCTGTCACCAAGCTGGACTGCAGTGGCATGATCTCAGCTCACTGCAATCTCCGCCTCCCAGGTTCAAGCAATTCTCCTGTTTCAGCCTCCTGAGTAGCTGGGATTACAGGCGTGTGCCACCACACTCAGCTAGTTTTTTTATTTTTAGTAGAGATGAGGTTTCACCATGTTGGCCAGGATGGTCTCAATCTCCTGACCTTGTGATCTGCTCACCTCGGCCTCCCAAAATGCTGGGATTACAGGCTTGAGTCACCAGGCCCGGCTGGAATGCTTGTATTTTCTTGCCTGATTTCCCTGGGAACACCCCCCCTTAACATTGAATGGAGCTGGTGAGAGCAAACATCCTTGTTTCTGATGTTAGATATTAAAAATACGGTTTTTCACCATCAAAGATTTTGTTGAGTTTTTCATATATGCTTTGTAGCAAGCTGAGTAAATTCTATTCCTAGTTTATTGTGGGTTTTTAATCATAAATGGGTATTATGTCAGATGCTTTTTTGCATTGATCAAGACTGTCATTTTTCCATCATTTCCTAATGTGGTGTATTCCACTGATCAGTTTCCATTTGGTGAACCATGCTTACATTCCAGGGATAAATCTCCCTTGGTTATATTGCATAATGCTTTGAATATATTGCTTTATATACTTCGCTGACATTTATTTCAAGATTTTTGTATCAGTACTCATAAGGGACAGGAATGCCATCTTCCTTGCTCTCACACCATGTCACATTTGCTTGAGAGCCCTGCATTGTTCTCCCTGAGACCTCATTTTTGTAATAAGCCTTTTCATATTCTCGGTGTGTATGTGCACCACATAGCCATCAGTGTCAACATCCAAAGCACACCTTTGGCCGGGCGCGGTGGCTCAAGCCTGTAATCCCAGCACTTTGGGAGGCCGAGACGGGCGGATCACAAGGTCAGGAGATCGAGACCAGCCTGGCTAATATGGTGAAACCCCGTCTCTACTAAAAAATACAAAAAAAACTAGCCGGGTGAGGTGGTGGGCGCCTGTAGTCCCAGCTACTCGGGAGGCTGAGGCAGGAGAATGGCGTAGACCCGGGAGGTGGAGCTTGCAGTGAGCTGAGATGCGGCCACTGCACTCCAGCCTGGGCGACAGAGTGACACTCCGTCTCAAAAAAAAAAAGCACACCTTTTCAGGCAACCATAACAGCTGGCACTGTCAGCAGGATGTCTAGATGTTGGTCACCACGCAATGTTTCAGCCTTCCCTTTCTCTCAGGTGCTAACCTGCTCTGCTATCTGGTGGCCAGCATGCTCCTTTGAGCTGCTGCTAGTTGCTGCTCTGTGTTCCATTGTTGAGGCCGAACAAACTTCTGTTCCAGATTTAGCCAACCAAAGATGGCAGTTTCTATGTCTTTTTTTTTTTTTTTTTTTTTTTTTTTTGAGACGGAGTCTTGCTCTGTCGCCCAGGCTGGAGTGCAGTGGCCGGATCTCAGCTCACTGCAAGCTCCGCCTCCCGGGTTTATGCCATTCTCCTGCCTCAGTCTCCCGAGTAGCTGGGACTACAGGCGCCCGCCACCTTGCCTGGCTAGTTTTTTGTATTTTTTAGCAGAGACGGGGTCTCACCGTGTTAGCCAGGATGGTCTCGATCTCCTGACCTCGTGATCCGCCCGTCTCGGCCTCCCAAAGTGCTGGGATTACAGGCTTGAGCCACTGCGCTTGGCCCAGTTTCTATGTCTTTGGCATTTAAGAGCAGGAGTATCGGATTTGGGTCCTCCTTAAAATGGTCTGGGGCTAGGAGTTTTCAGTTTGCCTTTCTATGTAGAATGAAGCTGGGACTGATGCTAGGTGTTGGCCTTGTCCTGTAGGTCTGGTGGTGGGGGCTGGTGGTGAGATTTTATCTTGTGCATGTTGGGGCCCCATTGGTGGTCATTCCTGAAAAAGCAGTCATTTGAAAATGAGAAAGAGCCAGGCGTGGTGGCGGTGGCTCATGCTTGTAATCTCACCACTTTGGGAGGCCAAGGCGAACAGATCACCTCAGATGAGGAGTTTGAGACCAGCCTGGCCATTATGGTGAAACCCCATCTCTACTAAAAATACAAAAATTAGCCAGGCATAGTGGTGGACGCCTGTAATTCCAGCTACTGGGGAGGCTGAGGCAGTAGAATCTCTTGAACCTGAGAGGCAGAGGTTGCAGTGAGCTGAGATGGCTCCACTGCACTCCAGCCTGAGTGACAGAGTAAGACTTGGTCTCAAAAAAAAAAGGTGACAAAGAAGGCTGGGCGTGGTGGCTCACACCTGTAATCCCAGCTACTTAGGAGGCTGAGGCAGAAGTATCACTGGAACCTGGGAAGTGAAGCTTGCAGTGAGCTAAGATTGCCCCACTGCACTTCAGACTGGGCAGCAGAGCGAGACTCCATCTCAAAAAAAAAAAAAAAAAAAAGAGGTTCTGAGCAGAGGAAAGACTGATCTGATTTAGGTTTTGTGTAATTATCCTCCAACTACGGGCTACAGGGTGTGGGTCGCTGGGTGGGTGGGTTAGGTGGACAAAACTGGATCCTAGTGCCTCACACCCCTTTAAAACGGATAAAAAGACGTAGTTCACGATCAGGGATGTCCTCAGTGATGCTCTGCTGGTCCCACAACCTGAGCGCTTTTTCCAGATGCTTTGACTTTGTACTTCTGCTCCCACGCAGCCAACGCCTGAACTGCAGCAACGTCCTGCAGACCCAGTTTCCTTTTTTGGTACCAGGCGTATGCAGGGCGTGGACAAATCCTACAATGAAACCAGTCAGAGACTGCCCTAGAGAAACTCATATGCCGGGATTTAGATGTTTGTAGGATAACATCATAAGTAACAGCTTTGCAGGAAATTGCAAACCACACGTGTTCCAGGGCGATTCTCAGAGGAGGGATCTTTGGGCAGTGTCTCCAAGGACCAGTAAGAATATTTCAGAAAGACACAATGAAAAAAACATTCTAGGCAAAGTGAAAACTGACATTGATACCCCGACCCCAACCCCTCTTAACTGCTACTTCCGACCTGGGTCATGGAGTTACCATTCAAGCCCTATACCCAATACTCATCCTGAACTACTTAACTACTTATTTATATATGTATTTATTTATTATTATTATTTTTTTGAGACGGAGCCTCACTCTGTCACCTAGGCTGGAGTGCAGTGGCGCGATCTCGGCTCACTGCAACCTCCACATCGTGGGTTCACGTGATTCTCCTGCCTCAGCCTCCTGGGCAGCTGTGATTACAGGCGCCTGCCACCATGCCTGGATAATTTTTTTTTCTTTTTTTTTTTTTTTTTTGGAAACTGAGTCTCGCTCTGTCGCCCAGGCTGGAGTGCAGTGGCCGGATCTCAGCTCATGGCAAGCTCTGGCTCCTGGGTTTACGCCATTCTCCTGCCTCAGCCTCCCAAGTAGCTGGGACTACAGGCGCCTGCCACCTCGCCTGGCTGGTTTTTTGTGTTTTTTAGTAGAGATGGGGTTTTACCGTGTTAGCCAGGATGGTCTCGATCTCCTGACCTCGTGATCCGCCCATCTTGGCCTCCCAAAGTGCTGGGATTACAGGCTTGAGTCACCGCACCTGGCCTTTTTTTCTTTTTTTGAGACAGAGTCTTGCTCTTGTTGCCCAGGCTAGAGTACACTAGCATGATCTCGGCTCACTGCAACCTCCACCTCCCGGATTGAAACAATTCTCCTGCCTCGGCCTCCCGAGTAGCTGGGATTACAGATACGTACCACCACGCCTGGCTAAGTTTTGTATTTTTAGTAGAGATAGAGTTTCATTATGTCAGCCAGCCTGGGCTCGAACTCCTGACCTCGTGATCTGCCCGCCTTGGCCTCCCAAAGTGCTGGGACTACAGGCGTGAGCCACAGTGCCCAGCCCCACCTGGGTAATTTTTGTATTTTTAGCAGAGACGTGGTTTCACCATGTTGGCCAGGCTGGTCTTGAACTCCTGACTGCAGGTGATCTACCCACCTTGGCCTCCCAAAGTGCTGGGATTACAGGCATGAGCCACCAAGCCCAGCCTACTTATTTCTTCTCACTCCCATCATCCCGATTGCCACCACCCAGGTCTAGACACTCACCTGGGTACCTGTCAAAGTGTCCTCCTTGGTCTCCCAAACTTGAATTCCTAGTCATTCACCCCAGCACCAAAGGGACATTTTTCTGTCTCTCCCCTGCTCACACACCTCCCATCGCTCCCTAGTGCTCTCAAGTGCAAGTCCAAGCTCCTCAGCCTGGCACCTGAAGTCTTGAAGACCCAGTTCTGCCTGTCCCACTGTATCATTAGCATGAATAACTAGAAAGACATTAATAAAAAGAATAGCACTACTGCTGTTTATTGAGTGCCTACCTGGTGCTTAGACATGTGTCTTGCAGTTTCAAGGTGCATTCACAACAGCTTTATTATCTTCGTTTTATAGAAGGGGCTATTGAGGTTCAGAGAACTCAAGGGACTTGTCCAAGGTCCCCAGCCTAGGTGTGAACTCAATTCTTTCCAACTCCAAAGCTCAAGCCTAAACCCAACACTGTGTCCCCTGCATGACAAACCTCTACTGGGATAGGTTTAACTTTCTTGCCATTTCTGTCTTTTACTCTTCTTGAGCCACTATAACAAAATACCATACGATTACAAAATAACAAAATATAATATGATAACAAAATACGATTCTTGACACCACAAAGTCCAAAGTCAAAATGACAGTAGATTCTGTTCTTGGTGAGGGCTTTCTTCCTGGCTCAAAGATGGCTACTTTCTGGTTGTGTCCTCAAGTTGGGGAGAGGGCATGGGGGTGACAGAGAGGTATCTGGTGTCTTTTCATTACTATTATTTAGTAGTGGTAGTAGTATTTGAGATGGAGTCTTACCCTGTCGCTCAGGATAAAGTGCAGTGGCACGATCTTGGCTCACTGCAACCTCTGCCTCCTGGGTTCAAGTGATTCTCCTGCCTCAGCCTCCAAAGTAGCTGGGATTACAGGTGCTCGCCACCACGCCCGGCTAATTTTTGTATTTTTAGTAGAGATGGAGTTTCACCATTTTGGCCAGACTGGTCTCGAACTCCTGATCTCAAGTGATTCGCCCACCTGTAATCCAAGCACTTTGGGAGACCAAAGCCCTCATGGATGAGGTGGTGAAAGCAACTTCTAGGGGCTGCATTACCATCATAGGTGGTGGAGACACTGCCACTTGCTGTGCAAAATGGAACACGGAGGATAAAGTCAGCCATGTGAGCACTGGGGGTGGTGCCAGTTTAGAGCTCCTGCAAGGTAAAGTCCATCCTGGGGATGGACGCTCTCGGCAATATTTAGTACTTTCCTGCCTTTTAGTTCCTGTGCACAGCCCCTAAGTCAACTTAGCATTTTCTGCATCTCCACTTGGCGTTAGCTAAAAGCTTCCATGTCAAGATTCAGCTAGTGGTCGAGAGATGCAGTGCCACGAGCCCTTAAACAGTGACGCGGCATCTCAGCTCATCTTTACTGCACCCTGGATTTGCCTACATTCTTCAAGATCCCGTTTGAATTTATTTTTTTTATTTTTTATTTTTTTTTGAGACGGAGTCTCGCTCTGCCGCCCAGGCTGGAGTGCAGTGGCGCGATCTCGGCTCACTGCAAGCTCCGCCTCCCGGGTTCACGCCATTCTCCTGCCTCAGCCTCCGGAGTAGCTGGGACTACAGGCGCCCGCCACCTCGCCCGGCTAGTTTTTTGTAGTTTTTAGTAGAGACGGGGTTTCACAGTGTCAGCCAGGATGGTCTCGATCTCCTGACCTCGTGATCCGCCCGTCTCGGCCTCCCAAAGTGCTGGGATTACAGGCTTGAGCCACCGCGCCCGGCCCCCATTTGAATTTCTTAGTGACTAAACCACTGTGCATTCTAGAGCTCATATATTTATATTTTGCCTGTTAAAAAAAAGTGAGCCGTGTTAGCTTAGTTCTCTTTTGATGTAGCTTATTCTGATTAGCTTTGTCACCGTTTTACTACTTAGCATGGAAACAAGATGAAATTCCAGGCCGGGCATGGTGGCTCACGCCTGTAATCCCCCACTTTGGGAGGCTGAGGTGGGCGGATCGCGAGGTCAGGAGTTTGAGACCAGCCTGGCCAACATGGTGAAACCCCAGTCTCTACTAAAAATACAAAAATTAGCCGGGTGTGGTGGCACAAGCCAGTAGTCCCAGCTACTCGGGAGGCTGAGGCAGGAGAATCACTTGAATCAGGGAGGCAGAGGTTGCAGTGAGCCAAGACCACGCCATTGCACTCCAGCCTGGGTGACATGGCGAGACTCCATCTCAAAGTAAACAAACAAACCCCCCAAACCCCAAAAACCCCCACAGGACCATTCCACACAATCTGCTTAGCCCAAGTGACAGCCTCAGCATACTTCTTGCTGCTTTCAGGACCACAGTCCAAGCCCATCCTGCCAGCAGATATGCCAGAAGCCACAGTGGCTTGGCCGGTCTTGGCATTCTCATCAAACTTGACAGCAGCGACAAAGTCAACAGGCAAGATAATCTTCACACCATTCTTCTCAGCTTTAGACATTAGGTCTTTGACAATCTTGGCTCCCTCTTCATCAAACAGAGAAGTGCCAATCTCCATGTTGTTGAGCACCTTAAGGAAGGTAAAAGCCATTCCACCACCAATAATCATCTCATTGACTTTGTCCAGCATATTGTTGATCAGCTGGATCTCGTCTGCAACTTTAGCTCTGCCCAGGATGGCCAGAAAGTGTCGCTCTGGGCTCTCCAAGTCCTTGGCAAAGTAGTTCAGCTCCTTCTTCATTAAAAAAAAAACCAAAAAACAAAAAACAAAAACAAAAAAACAAAAATACCACCAGCCTTCTGTGGCAGATTGACTTCTGCCATGGAGCTGTGGGCTCTGTGAGCAGTGCCAAAAGCATCACTGACATAGACATCCCCTAACTTGGGAAGTGAAGCTTGGAAAGCTTCTAATTTGGCTGGCTCGGCTTTAGCCTTGTTTCCGGAAGCATCTTTTCCTTTCCCTCTTCCTCCACCTGAAAGCGGAGGTTCTCCTGCAGGATGACAGACCCAGCAGCTGGGTTGGTACAGGTTTTCTCCACTTCTGGGCCTACACAGTCCTTCAAGAACAGAACATCTTTGCCCAGCAGAGATTTGAGTTCTGCAGCAACTGGCTCTAAGGAGTACTTGTCAGACATACGGACACCATCAGGCCGGCCTAGGTGTCTCGTAAGAACTACTGACTTGGATCCATTGTCCAAGCAGAATTTGATGCTTGGGACAGCAGCCTTAATCCTCTGGTTGTTTGTTATCTGGTTGTTCTTCATAGGAACATTGAAGTCGACTCTCTTAATGACTGGCTTCCCTTTCACGTCCAGCTTGTCCAGGGTCAGCTTGTTAGAAACCGACATTTTGGAAATACAGCTGGGGAGAGAACTCGGTGATTCAGTGAGGGGAGCTGGCTACCGACGTGCTCCGGAGGCTTGCAGAATCCAGTGGTGTACTTTTTTTTTTTTTTTTTTTTTTTTTGAGACGGAGTCTCGCTCTGCCGCCCAGGCTGGAGTGCAGTGGCCGGATCTCAGCTCACTGCAAGCTCCGCCTCCCGGGTTCACGCCATTCTCCTGCCTCAGCCTCCCGAGTAGCTGGGACTACAGGCACCCGCCATCGCGCCCGGCTAGTTTTTTGTATTTTTTAGTAGAGACGGGGTTTCACAGTGGTGTACTTTTTAACAAAAATGTATTTTGAGGTCATTGCAGATTCACATGTAGGAAATAACACAGCCATTTTCTCTCAGTGGTAACATGTTGCATAGCTGTAGTACAATGTCCCAATCAGGAAATTTCATCCCGCCCACCTCCCTCAACTGAATGAACAAGTACAGAGAGTACACTGTTCACAGAGGTGGTTCAACAATTCTACTTCCAAACAGTATTTCCTACCAGTTTTTTTCTTTTTTCTTTTCTTTTTTGAGACAGAGTCACTTTTTCACCTAGGTTGGAGTGCAGCGGCACGATCTCAGCTCACTGCAGTCTCTGCCTCCCGGGTTCAAGCGATTTCTCATGCCTCAGCCTCCTGAGTAGCTGGGATTACAGGCGCTCACCATCAAGTCCAGCTAATTTTTGTGTTTTTAGTAGAGACGGGGTGGGGTTTTGCCATGCTGGCCAGGCTGTTCTGGAACTCCTGACCTCAAATGATTTACCAGCCTCAGCCTCCCACAGTGTTGGGATTACAGGCGTGAGCCACTGTGCCCAGCTCGAACAGTTATTAAAAGTTATTTACAAAAAGTATTATTCGCCAGGCGCAGTGGCTCATGAATGTAATCCAAGCCTAGGTGAATGGATTGCCTGAGGTCAGGAGTTCAAGACCAGCCTGGCCAACATGGTAAAACCCTGTCTCTACTAAAAATACAAAAATTAGCTGGGCATGGTGGTGCGTCCCTGTAATCCCAGCTACTCAGGAGGCTGAGGCAGGAGAATCACTTGAACCCAGGAAGCAGAGGTTGCAGTGAACCGATATCGTGCCACTGCACTCCAGCCTGGGTGACAGAGTGAGACTCTGTCTCAAACAAAAACAAAAACAAGCAAAAAACAAAACAAAAAAACAGTGTTATTCTACTACTACTTTTAAATACATGAAGCACTTCCAAATATCTAGAAAGACTAGATATTTCATATAACTTGTCCACCATGTACACAGCACTGTTCAGTAAAGTTCCACACATGTAACCATGGTTATCATCTAAGGTATCTCCTAAATATGACCATTTTGGGCCAGGCGCAGTGGCTCACACCTGTAATCCCAGCACTTTGGGAGGCCGAGGCGGGTGGATCACGAGGTCAGGAGATGGAGACCATCCTGGCTAACACGGTGAAACCCCATCTCTACTAAAAATACAAAAAAATTAGCTGGGCGTGGTGGTGGGCACCTGTAGTCCCAGCTACTTGGGAGGCTGAGGCAGGAGAATGGCGTGAACCTGGGAGGTGGAGCTTGCAGTGAGCTGAGATTGCGCCACTGCACTCCAGCCTGGGTGACAGAGCGAGATTCCGTCTCAAAAAAAATTTTTAAAAAAAATGACCACTTTGGCCTTGAACAATTCCCTCCTTACTTCTTTCTCTCTGCTTTCAATCCAGTGGACAAGTACAGGCATGTGTAATGCTTAGAGATGGTTGAACAAATTCCTATCCAAAAGTCATTCACAGAAGACAAGTTTCCTATGAATTTCAACACAAAGTGTACAAAATATGCTAAATTTACTAAGTACTTTATCATACACTGGCAACCTCTTTAACATCTAGCAATTAGATGTTGCAAAATTAGGATGCATTTGCCCATTATATATGCTATATAGAGAGCAAAACAAAGTGCACAAAACATATAGAAAAATAGTGTCTGAAAATGTGCAAGTATGAACACACTGATCTTTTGAGATTTCTTCCCTCCCACCTCCTCTAAACTATCCAACAAGTATAGACAGTACTACACTGCTCACGAAGGTGGTTAAACAATTCAATTTCCAAAAGGCAGTGTTTCCTATAAATTTTAACAAAAAGATATTTACAAAGTGATATTTCACTACCTCTACATTTAATATACATGGGACACTTCCAAACATCTAGGTAGACTAGATATTTGAAGTAAGGAGTTAATTTGTCCACTGTGTAACAGCAGTCTTGAATAAACTGCAAACATGTAACAATAGTTATAATTTGAAAGTGTTCGAAATATGAACATTCTGGCCTAGAACCCTTTCTGTTTCCATCAACCCAGTGGGCAAAAATGCCTAAATTTTCGGAAGACAATATTTTCTAGGAATTTTATTATTTATTTATTTATTTATTTTTGAGATGGAGTTTTGTTCTTGTTGCCCAGGATGGAGTGCAATGACACATGTAGAGTTAGTAAACTAATATATTTTGTACCTTTTGTTTTAAAATTCCTAGGAAAGGCCAGGTGCCTTGGCTCGCGCCTGTAATCCCAGCATTTTGGGAGACTGAGGCCAGCGGATCACCTGAGGTCTGGAGTTTGAGACCAACCAGGCAAACGTGGTAAAATCCCATTTCTACAAAAATACAAAAAAATTTAGCAGGGCATGGTGGTGGGTACCTGTAATTCCAGCTGCCCGGGAGGCTGAGGCAGGAGAATCGCTTGAACCCACAAGGTGGAGGTTTCAGTGAGCTGAAATCCCATCGTTGCACTCCAGCCTGAGTGACAGAGTGAGAAGCTGTCTAAAAACAAAATAAAACAAAAACCCAGGCGTGGTTGCTCACGCCTGTAAACCCAGCATTTTGGGAGGCCAAGGCGGGTGGATCACGAGGTCAGGGGGTCGAGACTAGCCTGACCAACATGGTGTTGTATTTTTAGTATGTATTTTTAGTCTCTACTAAAAATACAAAAATTAGCCGGTCGTGGTGGTGTGCGCCTGCAGTACCAGCTACTCGGGAGGCCGAGGCAGGAGAATTGCTTGAACCTGGGAGGCGGAGGTTGCAGTGAGCCAAGATTGCTGAGACAGTAGAGGAGTTCTTGAACCCTTGGGGAAGCCGGGTCCAAGTGTACTGAGTAGTGACACCTGACTCCCGATCTTCCCACTGAAAGACAAACAGCTTCTGGCTCTCAGGAGCTATTCTGATGCTAAAGAAAGCATCTTTTAAGTCCAGACAGGTAGTGGCAGCAGCACTAACAATGTGTAAGGGTTAGGAACTGTTGGGTACAGAGTCACTGTAGCTTGGTTGACCAAGCGCAAGTCCTGTACTGGTCGGTAGACCTTGGTCCCTGGCTTAGGGACAGGCAGGAGCGGGGTGTTCCATGGAGACTGGCAAGGAACTATAATTCCATAGGCTTTCAAGCGCCTGAGATGAACCTGGATTCCCAGCTTCTCTGGGAACCCGATACTGCTTTTGTCTAATTGGTTGGGCCCCAGGCTTAACTTCTATGAATACAGGGGCTTGGTTGACCGCCAGTCCCAGAGGGTTATCCTCTGCCCATACTCGGGACCATCACTTAGCTAGAGCTGGTTTTATCTCTTGAGCTGGCTGGGTTAGAAAAAGTCTCCATTCTTCTTCCTGGGGGACCGTAAGGGCCATGATAACTCCTGTTCCCGGTAACTTTCGCTGTAAAGAGCCCTGTTTTGTAAAGGAGATGGTGGCTCTCAGTTTGCTAAGTAAGTCTCTTCCCAGCAAGGGCAAGGGACAGCCAGGCATGTACAAGAACTGGTGAACTATCTCAGGTCCCACCACCGAGCAGGTCTGTGATAGACAGAAAGCCTGCTTAGTGGAAACTCCTGTTGCTCCGATTATATCAATGGTTTTCTTGGAGAAGGGGGCACCCGGGGTGGCCACTACTGAATGTTCAGCACCAGTATCGACCAAAAACTTAATGTCCTTGCCCCCAGTTGTAATCCTGACTGTGGGCTCCTTGGGGGCACTTGAGCCCGGTCCCCTTTAGTTCAACAGCCCTTCAGCCAGATTGAACAAAGCTCCCTCGTCTTTATCTGAGGTCTTTTGTTCCAAACCATCTTGCTTTTCCTTCAGTTGGGGACACTTATCTTTCCAATGTCCTGTTTCCTTACAATAGGCTCACTGGTTACATCGCAAGCGTGGGCGATTAGACTGGGTGTTCTTCCTGGAACCCCCCTTTCCCTCTCCTTTCGGGAGAATTCCCTTAATGGCCGCAGCCAGTAAGTCGGCGTTTTGCCTAGTCTAGCATTCATCTTCCTTACGGCTTTCTCTGCAACTTGTTGCATCTCTATTCATAACACTTTATTGGCTATTTCCAGTAACTGTGAGGTATTCATACCTGCAAACCCAGCCTGTTTCTGCAGTTTTCTCCTGATATCTTCCGTGCTTTGGCTAACTAAGGCCATGTTAATCATGCGCTGATTTTCAGGGCTATCTGGATCAAAAGGAGTGTATATACGGTAAGTCTCACACAGTCTTTCATAGAATTGCGCTGGACTCACCTCTTTTCCTTGGATGACCTCAGAGACTTTATTTACATTTGTAGCCTTTTGAACCCCTTTCTTTAGACCTTCTATTAATGCCTCACGGTACTGTCTTAGCCTCTCCATGTCTGGTCCCTCGTTCGGGTCCCATTGGGGGTCTGTTCCGGGCAGTTGAACTCTTTTTTTTTTGAGACGGAGTCTCGCTGTGTCTGCCAGACTGGAGTGCAGTGGTGCAATCTCGGCTCACTGCAAGCTCCACCTCCCGGGTTCACACCATTCTCCTGCCTCAGCCTCCCGAGTAGCTGGGACTACAGGCGCCCGCCACCACGCCCGGCGAATTTTTTGTATTTTTAGTAGAGACAGGGTTTCACCATGTTAGCCAGGATGGTCTCGATCTCCTGACCTTGTGATCCACCCACCTCGGCCTCCCAAAATGCTGGGATTACAGGCATGAGCCACCACGCCCGGCCTGAA